GAAGCTACTCAGCTGTTTCAATCAACTTCCAGCCATTGCCCTTGGCCAGCCCCAGGTGAAGTTGACGTCGGTAGAGGGTCTCAAGGAACGGCTGCGAGGCCAAGGCCAGAGGCGTCACGTTGAAGCGGAGCAGTAGCTTATGGAGCTCGGCCTCTTGTGTGGCAGGGAGGCAGCAGGTGGCCTGCAAAAGCCAAGTGAATCACTTTTCAGTTCAAAGTAGACAAGCAAACTATAGCAGTAGAGTACGTTTTGTAAGTAGATGCAATTAGTAGACTAGACTATAAATACATAGTGTAAACATGTAGACTTTGCCAACATCAAAACAACCGATTCCAACCCTTTGCTGTTGCAAATGTCGCTTGGATCGGTTTGTTGGACCTCCAAACTCCGTGCCTCCTCCAAGATGCAAAAGGTGGGCCGGTGGTAAAGCACACGCGCCAGCCCAAGCCGTTGCTGCTCTTCACGGGTGAGAAGCTCTGGCCATGATCGGCGGGCAAACCATCCATCTGCCTCTCGCGTCAAAATGTGGTCCAAGCCAACCGCATGGAGACATTCACGCATGCGGCCCAGTTGTGGAACAGCTTCTCCGGGACTTGCAGTCTTCTCCACCGCAATCTCACACTGGAGTTCGATCTCATCAATGATTCTATCCTGGGGCCTGGCAACTGCTTTGATGGTCTCTTCAAAGGTACTAAAATGGATCAATACCTTGCGAAAGCCTTTCTGCACTTCTTTTCCATCTCTTCCACTCTCCACCGTCTGGCAGTGTGCAGCGCCCAGCTGTGCAAAGTGCCGACGAAGCTGGCTCTCGGAGATCTTCTCCGGCACCGTGACATGCACCATGAAGGGCCCATGAGACGGCAGTCGAAGAAGCAACGGGTAGGCCAGCTGGGCCAAAAGCCGACAATAGGCTGGCACGTAAGGCTCTTGCATCACCAGGACCATGGTTTCCAATGGAAGCCTAGTGGATGAACGCTCAGTGTCGACACCCAGCAGCAGCTGGAGCAAAGGCTTGGAGAAGCCCTTGGGACCACAAATGAGCAAAGGTTGGTTGACCGCTAGTTCAAATCGCAGCTTCCGAGCGAGTCGCACACCATCTTCGCTCACCAGCCCTTCTTTTGCGAACTGAAAGACATCACCGGCAGTGTGATCTGAGATCTGCAAGGGCAAAGGCTTTCTGCTTGCAACCTCTACGGCCACCACTAGCTCTAGGCAGCGCAAACACTGGGAATCGAGGCGACCCACCTTTTCAGCACACTTGGCGAGCTGCTGCGTGGCAATAAAGGCCGCTTGCATCATCCGGTCGAAAAGCACCGTCTCACTGAGTAGCTCTGCTGCCTCCAGCGTCTCGCTGAAAGGTGACGAGAACTTCAGAGACAGAAAGCGAAGCACCCAGGAGGGTACTTGCCGAAAGTCAGTGAGTGCTGTGATGGCCAGCTGATGGAGGAAGTCCAAGCCCCTCATCTCCATCCCAGTAGACATCAGCATCTCGAACTGTTCTGAAAGCTTTTGCTGCTCAGCGATTCCTCTACAGCACAGTGCCGAAGCCTCTGCTTGTGCTCGCAATCGCTTGTGCTGGGCCTCCCAAGTCGCCGTGTGAAAGCTGTCTGACCCTAGTCAAACACAAAAGACGGACCTGCAGGCCTTTTAACTTTGCACCTGCTCGGATCTTTGAAAGGAATATTGATTTTGAAAAGGCATTTCACAGACTGTAATCAGAATGGGCCGGTTTCCAGTGGAAGGAGGAACGACGCGGGCCTATCGCTTGAATGGTTGCCATGACGCATTTTTACACCTTGGTGCTTTGCAAACCAAACATGATTGCCAGTAGCGACCAGGATCCCGTCAAGTTCCAGGACTTTGGTTCCATCCAAGCCTGAAATTGAAGGTCCTCTCGCAGCTCTGATCTCTGAAGCAGCCTCAGCACCAGAAAATGCCCCAGAAAAAGAAACGACCATGTGCCCAAACTTCTCACCAGGAATGGCGCCACAAAGACCAGCTGTGCTGTGGCCAAGAGGGCTTCACAGCCATTGGAGCCGAGACTTTCAAAAATACTTCGAATCTCTGCCAGCCGCTGCATGGGCTCAGAGACCTCTTCTTCTACCCGCAAAAGCGTAAGCTCGCGCATCAGCTTTCGCTGTAGATGGCTCACAGCACCGCTCCAAAGCTCCAACGTCGCCAGCTTTGCTTGGTATCTCAGGACCTGACACATACAGCTACATCATGCCACATCCAGGTCGTGGGCCACATCCAACCCATGCAGCCTATGGACCTAATCTGTCAACATCCTTCAACAAGTATTTTCATGAGTTCATGTCAATTCTTGTTGATTCTCATTTGATACCTGTCAGCGATCTTCCAATCCAATGAGCCACCTGAAAAAAGGGCACAAAGTCTATGTTGTAGGGAATTGCACCTTCTTACCTAGGTAGGACGACTTTCTGCCCATTTCTGGACCCCTGCCTGATCCGCAAAGCCACTGCCCAGCGCGACCAACGCACCAAAGAGCAGTTGCTTGGCTACAGCAGCCAGGTCTCGTGAGAGCAAGGCCTGGAGACTACCTGAGAGGTTTTGACAAAATCTCCAGTAGAGCTTGGTTCTTGCGTGTAGCAGGAGCAAAATCAGTCCTGCCTTTTGCAAGATGGTCCGGCGTCGACCAGAGGTCAACAGCCCCAATTGCAGTGTGGCCCAAAGCCGTGCGGGTGCACTACGCCAGCGCAACTCCACGGTCTCCCTCGCTTTTGGACGGCTTCGTGAAAGCGTTGAAGAGCTTGTGGCTGGCTCGATCTCCTCCGAATCGGAGTGCCGGCACTCCAAGTAGGAATCCAAACGTTGGAAGGCCTCCGCACTGCAGCGACATCGGGGCTTCATGGTGACCTCAGAGAGTTCTGAAAGCTTCCAGCCCCGGGTATCTTCTCCACGAGCCCCCTGGATCATCAACAGCCGCGAGTGTTCATTTTTCAGACTTTGGCTGGGCCGACGTGCGATCGTGATGTAGCCAATGCCTAATTCTCGCAAAAGCCGCAGGAAATGCCGCTCCAACTCCGGTCCCATTGCAGATGTGCATTCATCCAGTATGGCGAAATGAGGGCGGTGAAACAAAATTCTGGCGAAGCCAAGGGCTTGTTTCTCTCGGAGTGAAAGGCTTGTGAGCTCTGTGTCCTTGGCAAGGTGCTCCAGGCCCACATATGCAAGCCACTTATACAACTCTTCATGTGGCAGTCCAGCTGCCATGGGCCTTGGGAAGGTCACTTCGTCAGACAGAGTGGAGGCCCACCCAAGCAATGGTGTTTCAGGTACGTAGAGGAGATCCTCTGGGAAGGGAATCCCTTCGATGTGGCGCTCTGAGCCACCGGGTCTGGACACCTGACCGTTGCTGATGGGCCAAAGCCCGAAGAGACAACGTGCCAGGGCCGTCTTCCCACTGGAGGCCTGACCGCACACGAGCAACGGGGCCGAGTGTGACAAGCAAAAGCTGAGATCCCGCAACAGTGCCTGCTTGCTGGGTGTATGGATGGTTACTGATTTGAAGGACACCAGCTCTCCCTCATCGGTGAAGGTTTCGGGAGGCTCGAGCTTAGGCATGTGCTTGCGCTTGGGCTTGGGCTTGGCTACTGGAGCCTCCAATCCCTCGAGCTTGACATAGAGTTGCTTCACGCGGTTCGTCGCAGCAGTACTAGTCATGAGCAGAGTGCGGGAGGACAAAAATGCATTCCAAGCAGAACATACATTGAAAAAGTTCTGGACATTCCGCAAGTGCTGTCCAACGACAAAAGCCTTCTGCTCAAAGGATTCTCCAAACGGAGGAGTCATGTATGCAAGCACGGCAGCAAATGCAACTAGCTCAAGTAGACTTGCAGCCTGGATGGAGTGCAAAAACATCCATTCTGTCATTTCCAGAGGAAACATCAAGTCGAAGAGCTTTCGTGCAATCGTGGACAAGTCTCGGAGGGTCTTTTGCAGCAAATCTAGCTCAAAAGCCTCCCCTTGCATCATCAAAATACTTTCTGATCGACTTTGCAATCGACTAAAATGTTGCTTCAGTCTTCCCTCAAAGTGCTGAAGCGACGCCTGCACATTTTTGGCATCTTCTGGATGAGTGCCTAAGACGATCTTCACGGCCAGCAAGAAAACGGCGGGTGGCAAGAAGCCTCCCAGCCACTTCTTTTGAAGCACTGTGAAGCCCGAGAAGACCCAGGTCTTGATCAAAGCTTCAATCAATGAGACTGCCACCTCTGATGTTGCATGTGCCATTTCATGCACATCTCGGCAGATTCGCAAGTCGGCATCAGTGATGACGTGCTCCTTGCTCTCGGATTGAAGCCGATAAAAATTCTGCTTCTGAAAATAGAATCGGTGTAGCTTCCGAGTGATGTTCTGCCTCCACTTTGTAGCAACCCGTCGCTGGAGGCAACCGGTGACGCTGATGCTTAGGCAGTGGAGGAGAACAAGGAAAGGGTATCTAAGCGCAGCCGACAGCCACTGACTTCCGCTCCGCTGCGATGTGAAGAGCACGGCGAAGAGAGATGACTTGCGCAGTAGCACCACACTCCCACCCAGCCACAACAAAGCAACGCCGACCAGTTCAGTGACGCCTGAGTCGCTGCTTCTGTTGCCAAGAAGGAGCTCAAGAGTGGAGGGCTGCCGGGTCCGGCGAGACACTGGCTCCATGTCAAATTAAAAGCGATGTCAACATCGCGCCAACTGGCTCATTTGAGCTTCATTCTTTGCATGCGCTGTACCTGGTCCTATCATTGAGTCACTTTAGCTAAGGGATGCTAAGGGCAAACCTGAGGGTATCAATCTTTTCCCACCTCCCTTAAAAGTCCAACGCAGCATTCGGTGGTTCGCCCACGAGATCTTTGTTCCTTGTGAGTGAACTGCTTTGGTGGTAGGTCTTGTGTCAAAGCCAGAGCTGATATCTCGCGGCAAGGCAAATCCTTAGGCCATGATGCCCTCTCACAAGGTCTACTGAAAATCACCGGTAAGAAATCAAATATGAAGCTATTAGTAACAAGTGCATCGCTACTAGTAACAAGTGCCTTACTAGTAGTAACAAAAAGCCATTAGTAACAAGAAGCAAGATTTGCAGAACTATATAGTTTCAGTCCCACCTCCGATTGTGCTCGTCAACGATCTGGTCAATGACCTGCGGTCTACTCAGAGTCTTCTTACCCCACGAATCTCTGTCTGTTCCATACGTCATGTCAGCTAGCTATACCATAGGCTATAGCCGAAAGCATGACCCTAATACAGCCAAAATCATGTAGAACAATTTGGGGCGCACCATCAACTTCGATCGATTCGTTCGGGAGGCTTGCACGCACCATCAAAAAATACTATTCCTTGCTAAGCAATAGTACCAAGAATCATTGGATATGATATGACCCGTGGCTTGAACCTATTTCAAGCAATAGTAGCACCAGTCAAGAAAGTCATACTGGGGAGGTCTTAAAAAGGACTAATTAGTCGAAGAGCAAGGGAGATAGGCTATGTACAAATCTTGAGGTGTCCCGAGACATTGTACCTGACCTTGCGTGAACATATATGTACCGTCAGCATCCGTCAGCCGAGTACCAAGGTTTTGATAGATGATGATAGATGGACCCTCCAGTGTAAACAAACAGTTTTTGTTTACACCCTACCTAGCTGAGCAGCTCAGGGCTTCAAGTCACAGCAAATGGGGAAGTCTTAAGACCCCAGTGCCTAAAATATAGTATTTTAATGTCTTTTCACAAATCGATGCCGATTTGATGCCTGCGCATCAAGATTGGCCGCCAGCTGTCGGAACGCCTCACCACTGGTTGGAAGACAAGAGGCCGGGATAGCTCCAACATACCGGGGATTACCAGGGTATCTTCACGGAATGGAGACTACACCTCTTTCCGTAGCATTCGTGAGTCTACCATTCAGGAGTCATCCAAGGCCAAACAACTCTCTCGCCGCATTCCCAGCTGTGGGATCATGGACAGCTCAAATGTCCTTTCTCAGTTAGAAGCACCAAACGAGTCAAAAAACGGAACAGAAAATCAGCGAAGGAACAACATCCTCCAAAAGTGTCAATGGAGGCCTCCACCTTTCGCTCCACAAGGATTTGCCCTTGCTCCTCTTCGGATACAACTTGGCTCGGTGAGTTGGGCCTGGGTGACCGGGACCCCGCGGACGCGAGGTCAGGACTGGTCGTTGAACATCGTTGGCTCGGCTTGGGGACCCGTTCCCGAAAGATCCCCGACCAACGGCCTCACTTAGTAGCGTTCGGACGCTACTAGGTAGAGTCCATCGCTATTAGGTTGGAGGCCATCGCTACGAACGGAGCAAGGACGCTACTGATCATTCTGAAAGGGCGACCCCTCAAGACTCTACTTGGATATCTTCCGTTTAGTGAGAGTCATTGTTGGTCACCTGGCTGCTTGAGGAAAAGTAACTAAGAAACATGAGAAACCTGTGTCTTCAGGCAAATTTCAAAAAGTGTTCAAACATATAAGAACCATCCACAACTATGATTACTGTCCAACAATGCCAAGTGTCTCTAAGGAGCCAAAGGGGTGAGTGAGGGCATGAGATAGGCCATTGGGCTGTCTGATGCATCTTGTGGCAGGCCAAACCGAATTGAGCTAATGCATGTTAATGCTTTCTCGACATTGCCGGCTTCACCTGAAGTAGGGATGCAGACTGAAACAACGTGTGCAAAATGAAACTCAAGTTTTCAAACCCTTTCAATTTTTTCCTACAAGGTATTGAAACCATCAGTGCCTAAAAGGTTTTCTCTGGGAAACGCTATTAATAATATAAATGTTTCGATTTTGCATGGTGACCCATTTGATTGCCACGTGCTGCAGCCCCGAATCTTGTGCTCAAGGGCAGCGACCGACCGGCTGAGAGGCTGAGACCGACTAGTATCGATACCAGAATTGCTTACACAATGCCCCGGCCCCCGTATGCAAGCTCTAAGCTCCTGTAAAAAACAAACAAGAATCATCAAGAATCGGGCATCCACCACCCATTTATGGCTATCTGTCCATTTGCCATGCTGCCACGATCTTTCCTGAGGTCTGCTGAAAGGAATCTCCTTGCAAAACCCTCTCAGAGTTCACTCAAGTCTGAAAAAGGACACATAAGGTACTGAACATTTGCTACTGCTATGATTTGCTGTGCACGTAAAGGCTCCTGACTCCTTGCCAACAACCTGAGCAAGCTCTGTGCGACCAAAAGGAGGCCACCAAACCTTACTCAACAACACAACGCAACAGCGCCGTCCTCGCGCTTGGAGCCACAGTGGCGGCAGAAGAGAGAGTCTGCCAAGTAAATGTTGCCTTAGGAGAAGTGCATCACTCCTAGTAACAACAAACTGCTGGGTTGAAGGCCATCGCTTCTAGGCTGGAGGCCATTGCTACTAGTAACAAGAAGCTTCTGGGTTGGAGGCCATCGCCTCTAGGTTGGAGGCCATTGCTATTAGTAACAAGAAGCTACTAGGTTGGAGGCCATCGCCTCTAGGTTGGA